TTGCCAGCTATGTAAAGACACAGTAAAAGGTTCAAGTCTCTAGGTTGAAGAGAACATTGTTTTTCAGACCAAAACCTTCCTTTTTTCTGCATGTACCAAAACGTTGTGACCTCTGACCCAGAACACCACCAGAACGATGCAATGGCTACCAATCCGCCTGGGCTAGCTCGGGGTGCCGGTGGCATGCCAAATCGGTGTTTGTTTGGTGAAAATCGGTTGAAAAATAACACATTTGCGAGCACATGGCAAAAATGGCGGGGAAACTGCCCTCTGGGCCCAAACAAACCTTTACAACAATGCGACCGGCACAAATTCAAAACCTGTGGGTCGCGCCAGCATCGGGATGCACCAAAACAACTTTTGTGTGCATCAAACCAACGTGGGCCGAACGGCGGCCAAAAAGGGGCACAAATATAGGTCAGGCTTCGTTTGGGGCCTAGGGTTTGGCCCAAACGTCCAGTTGCTTTTAAATTATTAAAAATAGTTATATTCTACATAGGGACACGAAATTCACATATGTTGTAAACCCTAACCCTAACCAAAAATCCCCACTTTCAATGGGAAATTGTGATTTTCTCCAAACTCTCTCTCAGGACAGCTGGGCCTCATGGCTTAGGCTGCTGCCTCAACTCAGGATAAGCGGATGAAAATGGATGAATGGTTGGATGAAATTATTGTTTTAGTAATAGTGTTCTGACCCTCCCTTTAAGACGATAGTGTTTGCGTTCTGGTATGTCTCTCCTAGTCTAAAAAGCCCCCCCCCCCCAAGTCCCGTACTTCAAAAAGCTCCTATACTTTAACATTGCCTTTTCCACTAATTTTAAGGTCACGGTGTGGGTCACAGGAGTGATGTAACTGGTCAGAAATCAGGTCACTTCATTGTCATAACCCTCCCTTTAAGGCGTTAGTGTCTGCATTCTGATATGTCATTCCTAGTCTAAAGAGCCCCCTCAAATGTACTCTAAAAAGCTCCTATACTTTAACATTGCCTTTTCCACTAATTTTGAGGTCACGGTGTGGGTCACAGGAGGGATGTAAAGGGTCTTAAATCAGGTCACTTCATCATCATAACCCTCCCTTCGAGGTGGTCATGTCTAGCATTGTCACGGTGTGAAAATTTAACCTCACGGTTATTGTGACCAAAATTATCACGGTTTTCGGTATTATCGCGGTATTTTTTTAAACGTGTTACATTTTCAGACAACTACATAAACCCTGTATGTCAGGAAAATATTGTCCTCAGTTTGTGTCTAAATTTTGCCTAAAATTTTTCATTTTGTAATTATGTTGTTTATTTGTTTACATTTTTCCCCTTTAGTATTTAAAATACATTATTTGCCCACAACTTCTTATTTTTTGTCTGTTTGATGTCATCAATTTAAAAATATTAGATCAGATGATACTCGGTACTCAAGTAGCCTTCTAATCAGATACTTTTTTTTACCATTTCTTGAGTAATAAACCCTATATCAGGAAAAAATTGTCCTCGGTTTGTGTCCTTTCGGTGAGCTTTGCAGATTTGGGAAAATGTCATCAGGCAGTAATCATTGTTAAATTCATAATTATTCTCGCAGAGAGACCAACTCTTAACTGTCCCTGGGAGCCCCGTAATGCATAGCGTCATTTCAAAATGGGGATGTCCGTGACACGGTTTACATGCAGGTAGCGGTGCTGCAGCTGCTTTATATAGTCATTCATGCGCAAAAAATTCCCCCATCCCCGTACTTCAAAAAGATCCCATACTTTAACATTGCCTTTTCCACAAATTTTGAGGTCACGGTGTGGGTCACAGGAGGGATGTAAAGGGTCTTAAATCAGGTCACTTCATCATCATATACCCTCCCTTCGAGGTGGTCATGTCTAGCATTGTCACGGTGTGAAAATTTAACCTCACGGTTATTGTGACCAAAATTATCACGGTTTTCGGTATTATCATGGTATTTTTTTTAAACGTGTTACATTTTCAGACAACTACATAAACCCTGTATATCAGGAAAAAATTGTCCTCGGTTTTTGTCCTTCCTGTGAGCTTTGCAAATTTGGGAAAATGTCATCAGGCAGTAATCATTGTTAAATTCATAATTATTCTCGGAGAGAGACCAACTCTTAACTGTCCCTGGGAGCCCCGTAATGCATAGCGTCATTTCAATATGGAGGTGTCTGCGACACGGTTTACATGCAGGTAGCGGTGCTGCAGCTGCTTTATATAGTCATTCATGCACAAAAAATTCCACCATCCCCGTACTTCAAAAAGATCCCATACTTTAACATGGCCTTTTCCACTAATTTTGAGGTCACGGTGTGGGTCACAGGAAGGATGTAAAGGGTCTTAAATCAGGTCACTTCATCATCATAACCCTCCCTTCGAGGTGGTCATGTCTAGCATTGTCACGGTGTGAAAATTTAACCTCACGGTTATTGTGACCAAAATTATCACTGTTTTCGGTATTATCGTGGTATTTTTTTTAAACGTGTTACATTTTCAGACAACTACATAAACCCTGTATATCAGGAAAATATTGTCCTCAGTTTGTGTCTAAATTTTGCCTAAAATTTGTTATTTTGTAATTATGTTGTTTATTTGTTTACATTTTTCCCCTTTAGTATTTAAAATACAATATTTGCCCATAACTTCTTATTTTTTGTCTGTTTGATGTCATCATTTTAAAAATATTAGATCAGATGATACTCGGTACTCAAGTAGCCTTCTAATCAGATACTTTTTTTTTACCCTTACTTGAGTAATAAACCCTATATCAGGAAAAAATTGTCCTCGGTTTGTGTCCTTCCGGTGAGCTTTGCAAATTTGGGAAATGTCATCAGGCAGTAATCATTGTTAAATTCATAATTATTCTCGGAGAGAGACCAACTCTTAACTGTCCCTGGGAGCCCCGTAATGCATAG